CTTCACACAATACAAGAGAAACCACTTTGTGTGACTTAATCTTTATTGTTGTATTAACGGAATTATATGTATATGCTTTGAATACATGTTTACTTGTTGATTTTCATTGATCTCTCGTCATTCATTCTTGTGTTTTCTTTACAAATTTAAAGTGGAGTGTTAATGTAAAAATGCAACCTTGATCAAAAACCCTTCTGATTCTTTTCTAACCAACACCATTAACTACCACAGAAACTCATTCTCTTTGCTAATGAACATTGGAAGGTCAAGACATCCAAATTCTCTCTCAAGGACATTGCTTGTCATAATACGAAATGACTTCTCCCTTTTATCATATGCAACATTAAAACACTTGTAACCGAAAATAGACACACACCAGTAAGCATAAAAATAAATTGGTTTATTTTAATTTACAATTTAACATGCTTTTAGTGCTATTTTTATGTAGGTTTTTATTCCTGTGAACATGATGCTAAATCTGTTGGTATGATGCGAGTGATCCCACATGCTCACCGAAGGAATATATAGTTCGTATATGTTTATAAGCAGATGAAGAGATAGTTTGAAATAGCTTTCTTGGATTGTTGAAAGAAAATTCTTTAAAAGGGCTATGTATTTAGTTAAAGGCTGATAATATAATTAGTGAGTAATTTTATACTGGCTAGTACTTCCGCACTGGTTGCAAAGAATATAAATGAAACCTTTCACGTGACTTCTGACACTTTTCTCTGATCAAATTCATTTTTCTCCTTATTTCATATTGAAAAAAAAAATCACGTAGGCTCACTACTTTCTTTTCTCCTTCTTCTCGACTCATTGCTTAATTTCTATGAAGGCAAGGTTTTCATTGGTCCAAACCAAAATTTCAATTACACTCACGAATTTCTTTCCTCCTTCTTCTTAACTCACCACTCAATTTCTGCAAAAGGCAAGGATTTCATTGGTCCAAAACAATTTCACATAGGCTCGCAAATTTGAAGGGAGTCGGTGAAAGGAGTTATTATTATTTCATGCTCACTACACAACCTTGAAAGCCACTTATGAACAGTGTTCGCATTTATGGCACCATATCCATAAATGGCACATATACTTTTTGCTGTTTGTGCATTTTTTTCTTTCTGGGAATAAAAAACATAAAATAAAAGTGCATCTCATTTTACTCCCTTTTAATGTAAAAACATTTTAAATTCACAATCAGCAGACAAATCATGTAGAAAACATCATGAGAATTGTTTCGACTTGAAGGTATACTGCTAATCAGTGTGATTTCTCATCTTCAGCAAGTTTGTAAACAACTCTTAACAGTCGTCACTAAACACCCGTGTCCTGTGCTACAGTTCTACCAATCTCTTTGTGGTTTTCAAGGTTAGAATTTTATTGATAGTTCTTTCTGTGTTGTTTTTCAGTGTGTATACTATGGTTGTTATTCTTCTGTTTGATATTGATGACAAAACAATTTCCATAATATTTACTGTTTCCAAAGCTATTAACTTATGCTGAAAAACAATGATATTAATATCAAGCCTTTTGAGTTTTGGTTTCTTGGAGACAGCATACATTAATGTTATAACTATCGGTGTTCCAAACCAATAATTCTCACCATTTTTGTTTTCAACAACCCCTCTTACATTAAGTGTCTCGATAGTAAGATCTTTATATACAACTGGAGGCATTTACAATTATGTAATCACAATTATGATAAAATAATTATAATTATGGTAGGTACTGCCAGATACCAACTATAAATGGTACATATTTTTGTTGTTGTTTTTACAGCGTTTTCTACTTTCTAAGACATAAAACAGCGTTAAAGGATGAAAATGTAGCTCATTTTTATTCCATTATCACTTTTAGCATAAAAAAAAAACATTTAAAATTCACAATCTACAAATTGTATAGAAAAATGTGTTGAAATATCACCGTTCAGAATATGTCATAAATTCCAATCGCTTTTATTTGAATGAAATCATGTGTTCGATCATCAGGAGGAAGAACGCTATGAACTTTTGTTCAAATATAATCCCCCACTGACCAGATGCTTGCTGTTGCTTATTTTCTTTTCGTTTCATTGATCCTTGTCTCAACACATGCTGTTTCTGAATCTCACGACTTACGAGGGCGGTGGGGGTCGGAGAAACCTGATTGGGGGTCCTGAGCAGTGCTTTGTGACCTTCGCTATCTACTACCTTTTTCTACCTACATTTATATACATTACAAATTAAACTAAACACAACTGACTATTAATTAAAGGATGAAAGATAATTTTTGTGGATTTTTTTATGGTATACTGAGGGGGCATTTTTTTTTTGTTCTTTGTTTTTTTTTTTTTTTTTCAAAATCCATAAATTTGTTTTTGCTCATTCTAATTCTCAAAAAAAAAATTGGTATTGGAATTTGCTTTTCTACATGTACGATACAACAATTTACCAACAAGTACCATCTTTTTGTTTTTCTGCCTCTTACCATATGTACCAGTGTTCACTGATACCAATAGATTTCTTTGTAGCTATTATGAATTTATTGTATTTCTACCTCAAAAAACAAAACAATTTTCAATAAATGCATGATGAAATGTACTAAAATTCTTTTTTCCCAAAAATGTACTGATAATTAAATCTTATGTCACTTCTATGTAAAAAAAAGTACCAGTAGTATAATTTGTACTAATACTGTCAGTGTTTCTTCATGTTTAAGTGAGAATGTCACATAAAGATGAGGTTATAATTTCGATTTTTTTTATTGTAATGTGTACATTTGTTTTCCTAAATATTCCATACCAAAATCTGCGTGCATCCAATCAGTACGTGATACTTAGGTGATCATCTTTCAATATATGATATATGATCATCTTTCAATATATGACTGACAAGGCAGAGTAGGTTGCCATTTCTTTCTATATATATGTTGCTATTTCTTTCCATATATGATATATGTTGCCAATATATGACTGACAAGGCAGAGAAGGTTGCCATTTCTTTCTATATATGATATATGTTGCCAATATATGACTGACAAGGCAGAGTAGGTTGCCATTTCTTTCAATATATGATATATGTTGCCAATACATGACTGACAAGGCAGAGTAGGTTGCCATTTCTTTCTGCAATAGACCAGTTGCTATCCAAGGCTATAGAAACTGGTCTGTCTTGCTATTTTCCCATAGCGGGGGGGGAAGAGGATTCATACCTTTCCCAAGTAATGGCGTTGACTGAAATTCGAACTCGGCTCTTCGATTACTCAATCCAAGCTGCTATTCATCATTACTCCACCATGGCATTCTACAGACAAATTGTATAGAAAAATGTGTTGAAATATCACTGTTCAGAATATGCCATATATTCCAATCACTTTTATTTGAATGAAATCATGTGTTCGGACATCAGGATGTCAAGGAGTAAAAAGAAAGAAACAAATGAATTAAACACAATTAGAAGCAGTATAACAAGATGTATGTTCTTCTGGGATTTCCAAAATTCTAAAACAGTATTCTCTTTGTCTTTATTTAAAATACTACCAAACACATTATAGCTTAACAAGATCAAGGCTGGAGCTTATTGAAGGAGCATTCCACAAGGGGCTTTTGGTGTTTGAATTAAGAAAGGTCATGATATCTTCTCAAAAAAAACATGCAATAAATCAATGCCAATGTGAAATTGTCATATAAAGCAGACAATACACAAACAAGTGGGATATACAGAAAGATACCAGATAACAAGATAGGCATAATGTAGTTTTAATCCTCCTCCTCTGATTGCTGCTCTGAGATCTCTCCGTTTATTACAAATTAATGCTAGAATAATTTTCCTGCTGAAAGACCATCAATGATTAATAAGTCTTTACTCCTTCGATAATTTGAAATTTTTCTGTTTTTATCATTAAACCCATTGCTCTTGAGAATTTACAACATAAATAATAAACACTATTTGTTTGACATACTAAATCTTAATGAACTTTACTTGGTTTATCTCAGGTTCAAATCTGCACAAAGTCTCCTCCAAACATGGCTTATGGCTTCTAATTATTATGTTTAATTCATTTGTTTCTTTCTCTTTTCTCCTTGACACCCAGTTAGATTCCCTGAGTTTTCACACAGTTTAATCTGAATTACTCTCTGCTTCAAATCACCATTGGACATTCTTATGAAGTAAGACATTGAACCAGTGTTACCACCTGAGTATATGTCCTTTGCATGGTAAAACGTTGAACCAGGTTTGTCACCTTGTTATATCTCTCACATTGTAAAACATTGAATCAGGGTTACCACCCGGTTATGTCTCTTATGCAGTTAGCCAATGTTTCGTCAACCATTCCAATAATAATAGTGTAAATAAACAGTCTAACAAATAAACAGTGTTTATTATTTCTGTTGTAAATTCTCAAGAACAAAGAAAATGTATAAATTCACTTTCATCATATGTTTAGGTTTTATTAAAATTCTGATCATTGCCTAATCAAACAAAAACATTGCCGAGGAGTAAAAAGGTAGTTAAAATAAAAGTGGTGTCAATAGAAAAGAAACTTGAAACTGTGTATTTTTTTTCGGGCCCAAAGGTCCAAGTTTACTGATAATTCTTCATTTCAGAAAATATGTCAGAACTTCAGATAGCATTTAAAAAAAAAAAAAAAATCAGGAAAAAAATTCTCAAGTTAAAATTTGTTTCGCAAAAATCAACACTTTTCAATTTTTTTATATTGATCAGTTTTTTTTGTAGAGTTACATCAACACTTTTTTTTTTTTTTTGCTAAAAAAAAAAAAAAAAAATGAACAAGGAAAAATTCATTTGTATGTTTCTATCAATGGGTATTTTTGATTGGAGACATTATCACCCGTGAAAATATCCGTTATCACATCATTTTGGGGAATCACAATATTGAATAAACCAGAAAATATAAATATAAATCAAATAACTTAAAAAACAAAAAAAAAAAGTTATCATATTTGCTAAGTTTTTTTTTTTTTTATTTAACTGTTTCTTTATATCCAGAAACTTACACCTACATCACACCAGTTGCAGTACGACCACTGAAGTTAAGCATTGTCGAGCCTGGTCAATACCTAGATGGGTGACCGCTTGGAATACCAGGTGCTGTAAACTTGGATGTGTGAACTTTGTAAATGGATAATAACTTGGAATTGTTATTCGGAGAACAGAGTTCCAACTGCGGTTGGATTCATTATATTCACTTACGCGCAAATACTCTTGAGAAAGGCATGCATCCTCCTGTTATCCTCCAGCTATGGGTTAATTAGTAAGACAAGTATCACTAAACCAGTATTATGGCAAAAAACATTTCTAAAAATCTAAAAATATTTGCTGGCTTTAAATAACCTGCAAAGGGTTGATAAGCCATAAAAAACAAATCTAGATTGTGAGCCTTTTTTTATTTATATTAATCACAGTTGAACTAACGCTCTTATCTTCACAACATTTGAGCTGTTGTGCCCTTTGATATTTTCCAAGCGTCTGTTAACATTCAAGCACGTGAGAGCTATTAATATAGAAAGAAATGGCGGCAGAGAGAGCCAAGCATGACAGCAAGGTTTCAGCAACAGTGGTTATATAAAGATGGCCAAGGGAATCAAGCTTGTCATCCAGGCTACTACAGCAGAAGATGCAATATGGCGATTAAAATTAGGGCTCAAGGTTATAGCTTCAGTCCAATGAACAATAGTTGAAAGGATTATAGTGTTTATGAAATTTTGCAGTATGTTAATTGAGCTTTTAGATGGGCTGCGTAGTACAGACTCAGTGGAAATAGGACTAGCAATAAATGAGCAGCACTAAAAGAAAGAACACAAGATATTCTTAGACATGGACAGTAGAACAAGTACAATCCCAATAAGAAAAATATGGTACGTAGGTGAGTTGTCGCCCTTGGTAAACTGCACTCTCTAAGATCACATATATCATCAAACCAACCAATTACTAACCAGAATATATTGGTGCCAATTATTAAGAACGCTAGTCTATTCTTTTACTCTTTTTCCACTTTTCTGTCAAGATCTGCTAGGTACAGGTCGTCAAAATCGTCTCTGATTCTACCTGCACTTGGACATGAGAGCCGTACTATATTAGTACGTAAATAAAACCATTCTACAACACCAAGGACTTCAGTTAAGTGGACTTATATTGTTTCATTATAATATAGCCACAAACAGAACAATTTGTTCGCAACAAGAACTATTATTTCTATAGTATTTGTATATATGAACTTCAATAATATTCCTTTTAACTTTCAATTTGTGTTCCATGTGCTTCCTGTATTGATAAATCACCATATCCCTCCCATAGATTAAATAAATCGACAGATATCCAAAAAGGTGATAATAAAACATAAGAAGATAGTCAAAATATAAATAATTATAATTTTTCATCTCAGAAATTAAGACTCTAAGCATGTTAGTTCAAAATCATTACACTTCTGGTGATTAGGGATTAGTGGCAGTACAAGCAAAAGTCAACTTCAGATTTCAAATGTAGTTAGAGTTTGGCTAATAATTTTCAAATAATTATAACTTCTCTAAAATATTAAATTACCTGATATTAGCAGTTATCTTCAGTGGATTTTAAGAGAGTGCGAATAAACATTCACATATTAACAAATCATTAACAAATTTATTGCCATACCATGTTCTACTGGTTTGTTTGAAACAGGTATGTTTGATAAAAATATTTGACAAAGTTTAACATTCATAACTGAAAAAAAAATGATGTGTCAAAAGGAATTTTTTTTTCTCTTGACACTGCTATCACTATATACGCCCTTCAAAAGAGCTTTCCAAAGAGCTATTGTTAGAATTTGAATAAAACTCCAAAATATGAAGCAGGATTTATGTATTCTTCCTTTTTTTCAAGAATTGACAAAAAAAAATAAAAATAAAAAATAAATTGATCAGTATTTATTCTATTCGATTGCTTATTTATTTTATATTTACAAGTTTATAAAAATATGCGAACCAACTACAATGCAATATTTATTATTTACCATATTATAAAGAAATAACTCTGACAACAAACCTTTTTCTTCATAAATTTATAAAAATGTCTGTTAAAAAGAAACCAAGAAAATTTGAATAAACACATAACGACAAGTATAAATTATGAAAGAAAAACAATTTTCTAGGCAATTAGATCATTTGCTTTTTTTTTCTCAAGAACTAGTACCAAAAATGTTAAACACTATTTATTTACAGTATTAGTCGGACTATTGTCCTCATCTTTGTCACCATATTTGTCACAACGTTTCGACCGTTGTACGCTCCGGCCTTCTTCAGGTGGTTGGAATTTCGAACTAAACCCTTTATTTCAATCACTGGTAGACTGTTCTAGTTCCACGTGCCATGTTTGATGGATGTCAGTTATCAGTTATCTCCTGCTAATTTTCCCTCTGAAAGTTCTCCACTGCCTTAACCAGGTATTGAACTCACCTTCTTTGGGTCTGTCACTGGATCTAACCAACGCCTTTATCCACTGTGCCACTATTTATTTATTCATCTGTTTATTTGCAAGAATAGTTTTTAATATTTTTGTTTTCAATTCTTGAAAAAAAAAAAAGAGAACGTATAAATTCAGTTTCACATGTTGGGTTTTATTAAAATTCTAAAAATAACTTTTTAATACAATTAAAATTGCCTAAGGAGTATACAGCTATGTCAAATGAAAAAAAAATGCATTTTGTGTTGACGAATGTTGATTTTTGCAAAAAAAAATTTTATTTACAAGTAAGAATTAACTTTAGTCCTTCTCCCACTGCAAACATAATTACATTTAAATCAACACGAGAAACTATACCTGTATTTCTTTTTGCTAAATCAAAAAAGAAATTGCTTGCCAAATACAAAAGACTGTTAAAAGGTTAAAGCTTCAGTTTTTCACAAATATGCTTCAAGATAATCTTTCTACACTCCTCAAAATCTCACTTTTCTCATTGTGTGTTATCATGTGACGTTTTACAGTTCCCCGGTGAGAGAAAGCTCTTCCACATACATCACATTGGTAAGGTGTTTCTCCTGTATGGATTCTCACATGTCTCTTTAATGCACCATTCTCAGAGAAAGCTTTTCCACATACTTCACACTGGTAAGGTTTTTCTCCTGTATGAATGGCCATGTGGCATTTCAATGTTCCATTTTGAGAGAAAGCTTTTCCACAAATTTTACACTTGTATGGTTTCTCTCCTGTGTGTGTATACATATGAGATTTCAAAATACTGCTTCGAGAAAAGTCTTTGTCACACACTTCACATTTAAAAAGCTTCTCATTTGTATGTGTTGTCATGTGCATTTTCAAAATGTCTTGTCGAGTGAACCCTTTTTCACACACTCCACAATGAAAAGGAGTTTCTCCTGTGTGAGTCCTCAAGTGTATAGTCAAGGTGATCCTCTGAGAGAAAGATTTTTCACACACTTGACACTGAAATGGTGTTTCTTTCGTGTGAATTCTCATGTGAATTTTTAAAGTGTCATTTTGTGTGAAGGATTTCCCGCACACTTCACAGTGGAAAGGTGTCTCTCCAGTGTGGATTCTCATGTGTCGCTTCAAGGAACCAATGGCATACAAAGCTTTTCCACATATTTCACAATGGAAGGGATTTCTCTCTTTATGTATTTTTTTATGCGCACTCAACAAAGGTTTTTTGGCAAATGTCTTTCCACAAACATCACAAGCATATCTTTTACACTCAGAGACTGAATTCATTACTGCTTTTAAAAATCTTGTTAGTTATTTGCAACAAGTGATTTGGAATTCTGCAGCCTGGTTGTACCAGTCAAAGGTCATTGAAGACCTAAACTCTGAAATCAGAAAGCAATAAAAACTTGCAATCTGTATCAACCATTATGATTACATTATGATTTTTTTAAAAAGTTGAAAGACTCACATATAGATAAACATGACATATACAAATTATATGCTTTATTACTTGGATCAGCATGTTCATTTTGGTTGTTATACTCGCAAAATTTCAGCCGTTGTACACATCTGCCTTCTTCAAGTGCCTGTCATCATATTTGGTAATCTTCTCGGAAATTTGAAACAAACCCTTTATTCAATCCTTGGCAGTACACTGTTCCCATTTTGCTTTTTGTGCTTAAGGAATGTTTCCTATCAGTTAATACTCACCTGTCTGATTCATCTTTGTTTCGCTTGTTTATTTCTTCCATTGAAGTAGAGTAAATAACTTTTCACCTAGGGATTGAACCAGTAGCGTGGATTAAAACATTGATTCTTAAATTTGGTAATCAGACTCAATGGAAACAGGGTGAGCAGTCAGTTATGTGCCATGCATGATACACGCTTAAGCGATCATGTATCTTTTGATACATTACTGACGAGACAGATTTTTTTTTCTTGCAGTAGGTTGCCATTTCTTTCTGCAGTAGACCAGTTGCCATCCAAGGCTATAGAACCCAGTTTGTTTTGCTATTTTACCCATAGCTGGGGGAGAAGAGGAGGATTCATACCTTTCCCAAGGGTATTAACACATAAGTGAATGTAATGGATCTGACTGGAATTCAAACTTGGCTCTCCGATTCCTCAATCCAAGCCGCTATCCATTACTCCACCGTGTCCTAGACGTGGACAGCTGGACAAGAATAATGTATTGTAACCCCAACGTAAATTAAATAAATAAAAAGGGGTCAGTTCTTACTTTGAATGTTACCCGGATTGGCAGACATCTAAAGAAGGCTGGAGGGTATAACGGCCAAAATGCTGTGATAATAACAACAAAGATGAGGATAATGATAATTCTTCATCCCCGAAATTCAGACAGAAATTAACAATATCCAATTTAATTTATCAAACTTATTTTTCCAATACAGATCATGAATTAAGACGAAAATGTCAATTATGATTATATTTAAAAAGGTTTGTAAAAAGAGTACAAAAGGTGAAATTTCTAATACATATTTATTTGCAACAATTTTGAGTTAGTTTTCTTATGAAACTCGAAACTCCTTAGGATTTGAAGAAATAAAAAAAATAGAATAATAATAGTTGTCAAAAATAGAATAAAAAAATTGTAAGCATTTTCAATATAATAATAATAATTAGGAAGATCTTATCTGTTTAATTCACCCCAAAATATTTAA